ATGGTAATACGTATAAAAACTGGTCAAATATGGTAACACGTATAAAAACTTGTTAAGTATAATAACAAGTATGGTTACAAGTATAACAAGTATGTTAACAAGTATAACTAGTATGGTAACAAGTTTGATAAAAATTATGGTAAGAAGTAAAACAAGTATGGTAACAGGTATGACAACAAATATAACCAGTATGGAAACCAGCATTACAAGTATGATAACAAGTATACCAAGTATGGAAACCAGTTTGGTAACAAGTATAAAAAGTATGATAACAAGATTGGTAACAAGAGTGGTAACAATTATGGTAAGAAGTAAAAGAAGTATAACCAGTATGATAACAAGTATGATAGGCAGTGTGATAACAAGAATAACAAGTGTGGTAACAGGTATGGTAACAAGTATAACAAGTGTGGTAACAGGTATGGTAACAAGTATAACAAGTGTGGTAACAATTATAACAAGTATAATAACAAGTGTGGTAATAGTAAACCAAGTATGATAACAAGTATAACAAGCATATGGTAATTTGTATAACAATTATGGTAACAAGTGCAGTAACAAGTATTGTAACAAGTTTAACAAGTATGATAACTAGTATAATAACAAGTTTAACAAGTATGATAACTAGTATAATAACAAGTATAATAACAAGTGTGGTTACAATATGAAAATAAGAAGATGTGGTATGATTGCCAATGAGACAACTCTCCACAAGATACCAAATGACATAGAAGTTAACAACTATAGGTCACCGTACTGCCTTCAACAATGAGCAAATTTATACCGCATATTTAGCTATAAAAGGCCCAAAAATGACATGTAAAATAATTCAAACAAGAAAACTAACAGCCTGATTCATGTTCAAAGCAATGAACGAAATACAAATATGATAAACAGCAACAAACGACAACCACTGAATTACAGGCTGCTGACTTGGGACAGGCACATACAGATTGTGGCGGGGTTAAACATGTTTCCGGGCGCCCAACTCTCCCCTAACCTTGGACAGTGGTGTAACAGCACAACATATGAACAAACTATAAAAATCAGTTCAACAGAGCTTAACGCATCAGATCGATACAAAGCAGAAAAACAAGTAACACAAACACAGACCGGACGTGACATGGTATTTATCTCCACAACAAAAAAGACACCAAGTACAGATCTGAGAGTACTCACAGTTACTGGCAGCTAGTTCTAAGCCAATAACAACTAATAAAAAATCATGTATCTAAGACTAAAATATCAATCAGTACACATCCAACATCCAATGTATTAAGTGTGAAGATGTCATTAACAGTCAGAGAAAAATATGACCTTGTGCAATGCCAAAATACAGATTGTAGAACCGTGAATGTGCATATATATATGTATATGTAAATATAACAATATTATTAGTAACACCGTAAGATGGTGCCAAAGGAACATCCTTTTTTTTCCAAAAAAGGAAAATTAACAACAGGGAAAGAAAAATCATCCCTTTTGTCGTAAATTTTTGTGTAAAACTGAAATATCTAAGTCTAGGAAAGGACAGTTATTGCCGTTTATATTTGATTTGATATTCCTTTAGTAATATTCAGCAATATTTAGAAAATTCTTGATTATTTAACGAAAACATATCATCAAAATAACGATAAGCGTTGTTGAATTTATCAATTAAATGGAATTTAGACGGATCTTTACTGAGTTCGGCCATAAACTGTGATTCATAACAGTACAAGAACAAGTCTACTATTAAAGGGTCGAATTGGTGCCCATAGGAATACCTTCAGTCTGTCGATATACTTTATTGCTGAAACGTACATAGATAAATGTTGTCAAGGAGAAAATTAACAGCTTCAATCATCTCATCATACCTCCAGTAAGTATAATTATATCTAGCATATTTACCTTTCTCATTAGAGAAGAAGGCTTTCAATGAGTTGCAGCAAAATTTATTTGCAATCAGATTTATCAAACGGCAATTTAATTAAATAGTAACACTTTTGTTTGATATGATTGTGTGGAATTTGATAAGATTGTGCGGAAGAGTAGTTTAAAGAATTGAAAAGCCAAAACTGTCACCAGAATCAAAAAGACCATCAAAAGCACGTAATTTATCTAAAACACCCAAAGAATTTTTCACACTCCAAAAATAGTAAATTCCACTATTTTCATATCATGTTTTATTACTAAAGTTAATGATATATTAAATTCTTTGATAGTAGTTAAGGAACTAGTTAAAAGTACTGAAAGATAAGTTGTAGAGCACTTACAAGAGGCCGAGATGAAACGATATTTTACGAGTTTGTTGTGTAGTTTAGGTAACCAATACATAGTAGGAACCTTCAAATGTTCAGAAGAGGCCTTAAGTTGTAATGTGGTTATGATATGACTGTTAAATATATGACTCTCTGTGAGGCGCACTGACCTGAATGTAGAAGAATTTACAATTATATTCTTAAGAACTTCCGTGTAGTATTTACATCATACCACCACCATATTGTTTGCTGCTTTGTCGGCCGATACAAACACAAACCGCTTTAATTGTTTGTACTTGAAGTTTGTTTCTTATTCTAGAAATAGGCGTATTATGTACTCTTTTATTTATTTCTAAATTATTTTCAAAATGTGATATTTGAATATCCACAACATTCGTACAATTATTTAAATAAGAATCAAGAGATTTTTTATCAGATTTTCCCCGTTGACACCAATTTTTACAATACAATGAAAGAGCGTGTCTTTTATGACCTGACGACACTGTTTCCAATCTATTTTAGATGGAGGACGATTTTTAATCCTTTTTCGCATTGACTTTTCCAATCAATGTCTATTTTGTTAGAGTATTTTATCTCTTTAATGGCATACAATTCGGCATGTGTCTTCTAGGGCACTAGGTTTCTTTAACCTAAAGCAGCGAATTGAAACAATGCGTAAAAGAGACTAATTTTCTAAATGAATAAAGGTCATCTTCAATTATGGCGTTCTAGAGTCTGCTGATAGATCAAGGACCTGTCGAAAGGTCGATAAGGCGTTTACTTAAAACATATCAAATGTACGAGCTTTTTACAATTGTCTATGATCTCTTAGATAGGAAGGAGTAGTTGGTCAAGAAGAAAATTATAAGGATCTTATCAGAAATGTATCTCAAGGTAATATAGCAGATGATTGTCACTACTAAGTCATGTTAGTTCATTTTAACAGAACAAATTTTAATGTGATCGATGGAAAACGTTTAGCATACCAGTTTGGCTTAATTATTATCTTGTGACTGATGACCATCGCTCTACTTAAATAAAGACGCCCCTTCCTGATGTTGTCAGTTTCCCTTTAACTTATGAGTTTTAAATGTCCCCTTGGTATCTTCCTCCTTTTTGCTTGTAGAAAAGAGGAATTCTGTAACTGTTTTGAAAATTCCAAACTTCTTCCTTCTTAGCTTCGTTTATAATACTTTAAGTCTGTAAGAAATTTTTCATTGGAATATAATTCTTCTGTTAATAAAATGTGGTTGGGTTAAACTAGTTTTTTTTGGATATGAATCCTCCTTCTTATAATCTTGATAAGTCGAATAACAAAAGAAACATCGTAGAATGTACTCAAAAATCATTACAAGAAAGGTGACAGAAAAGGGGATATGATTTTATAACTCATAAAAAATAGCACAAGAGAAGTCAGATAATAATTTACCGCCTTCTACACCACGGGCTTTTTATAAGTATAATTATGGTACAATGTGTGATGTACAATTTATTTTGGTAAATAATTGGCATTAAATACACTTGTTTCTCTCGGAATATGGAATAAAATAATAACTGTGTTTTGTTTCTGTGAATATATGGTTTAATTGACTTTTGAAAAAACTGATATTCACTCCGTTGGCATCAGCGAATATGAGTTTTTTTTTTTAAATTTAAAAAAAACACCAAATATTCACTTCATCAAAAGACAGTAATGTATATAATATATCCACGCACTTGTAAAAATAAACATTTTTTTAACGCAGATAAAATAAAAGAAACATTTTATTATTGTTTCTACTATAAATCAACGAATACATGCTCATCTCCAAAAATACAAGACACAATGATGTTTTCAGGCAAAATATATTAATAATACGCTAAATCATAGTTTAAAAATGGGGTTTAGAAATTTTGCATTAATTTGCTGTACATAACAGAAGGTATGCTTGCATGGAACCACGTTGTTGGCATAATCTAAAGAGGCCGCTACTGTCTTCCAATATTCCAAAATTATAAAAGTTATGGTTCACTGTTTAATCAAGTAATTATGTAAAACAGCATGGTATAGTTATATGATTTACATCCTTTTCCCTATAATTTAAATTGTTTTCTGATCAACGATGCGCACATTTCTCTGAAATTGCAAAAGAATATTTTTAAAAGGTTGCCCCTGAAGCCAAATGAATGATTATGCGTCAATATGACCTAAAATATAAAAATAAGATGTTGTATGATTGCCAATGAGACAACTCTCCACCAGAGATCAAATGAAATAGAAGTTTACAAATATAGGTCACCGTACGACCTTCAACAACCTTCAACAATGAACAAAACCCATACCGCCTAGTCAGCCTTAAAAGGCCCCGAAATGATAAATGTAAACAATTCAAACGAGAAAACTGACGGCCTGATTTATGTACAAAACAATAAACGAAAAACAAATATGATATACAGCAACAAACGACAACAACTGAATTACAGGCTCCTCACTTAGGACAGGCACATACAGAATGTGGCGGGGTTAAACTAGTTTGTTGACGACAAACCCTCACCCTAACCTTGGACAGTGGTGTAACAGTACAACATTAGAACAAACTATAAAAGTTCATATACTGAATCTGTAAGGAAGACATGCGGAAAAAAATACCTAGTTTAAAATTGAATACCTAGATTTCGTGTACAAAAGTCGCCCTGTACATAATCATTAAATAAATAAGCTTAATCAATTTTTAACCGTTACACATTAAATTTTGTATTACATCAAAACAAATTGTCACAATGCAGATCATCCTAAAATTATGTCTTGTTCTTGTTACAATTAGTAAAAGTTTACGCTGTTGGACGATTTCTGGATGTCCAGCATATGGGTGTCGTCCGTCTGGAACATTTTCTTTTTTACTACAGCTTCCATCGTCAAAACCGAAAGTTACCTGGAACACTACGTTTGGACCCGTATGGAACTCTTTAGGATGTGTTGGAAATATAAATAATATTGTGTGCCCTTACAGAGGCTTGAGAATACAGTAAGCAATGAATCATTGAGAAACAATAAATTTTGAAAGTTGATTTTTAAGGCGATTTTGGTGTATTTCAAATCATCACATAAACTTGTTTTAAATGCTGCCACAATGACGTAACGGTATCCTCAGCGAGGTTTGTATACTAACTACACATATCTGGGATGAAAATACCTTTCAAATGTGCATATGATACATTATTGAAACTATCCTCGATGTCATATATTGTGTTATTTCTACTGCAATAGCGTGAGAGTAATCCGAAACCTTGTCGTTTGTAATTTTGTACTGACGTTATTTTACTTTGATATCGAGATTAAATTTTTCCGTTGACTAAAATGTAAAATATATAAAACTTTAAGGTTATCTTGCAAATGCAAAGGTTTTACAACCCCAAGGATTAATATCCCGGCTTTGTGGGATGTGTAAATACGCAATAAGGACGTGCCATCATATACGAAATGTTCCCTGCTCTTTAAAAACGAAATAACCATTGCAACATCTCTTTGAGAGTCCGCGTTAATGACATACAGCAAGCAAATTTACTGCCCCATCCAATTACCTTCATTTTTCCAGTTGCAGTCTACATTTCTCATGCTTCATTCCAGTTGACCGATGGTTAAGAACTTACCTATTGGATTTGGATTAATTATTATTGTGTTCTCGTCTTGCATAATTATGTATTGTATGATATTTTTACCAGTGGATGTTAGGAAACAATACGATTATGCTGTCCTATTTTGTGGTGTTATTCTTACGTTAGACACATTCGAATTTCCAATATTGTACTTCAAGCACCACTGACTAGTGAAATATTCGAAATTCACATATGTTTTAAATTACATTACCTTCGACATCATGTATTGTATTACCACAGAATAATAAAAGTAGATGGGGGTACATTGTATATGTAAATGAGACAGCAACCCATCAATGAGAAAAAAAAAACAGAAGACCTCTATAAATATGGAGATAGAACTGGGTATTTTAGTTAAAGGATATAACCTTTATGTTTTGGATTGGTGTTGCGATATTAATGATGGGTCATAAGTTGTCCGTTACATTTCGACAATGCAGAGTCTCTTCTATATTTGGAGAGGTGTCCTGTTTATTATAGCTTACGTTTTCTTATGGCTAAAATTTTTTCAATGTAGCTTTTAGACAGGTTAATGATTTATTAACAATTATAAAAATTAAAACAGTTAAATGTTAAAAAGATTTTGCTTATTTTCTTTCTTTAGTTATTTATTCCAAATCAAATTGAACTTATAGTCAATTGCATAATATTTTGCGGTATTATTAGTTATGAATTTTTTGTTATAAATCTGGCAGCAATCATAAAGGGATTTCTCTTTGTATATTAAAATATTTAGTGCAGTACTTAAAGAGAGATTGAAAAAAAACCCTCAAAAACAGTTTGGTTTCAGGGAAAATAACAGGACAACTGGTAGTCTCTTTATATTAAAGTCATTGATAAATAAGTAATTACATAAGAATAATAGTAAGTTATATATTTGTATTCTTGATCTACAAAAGGCATTTGACTCAGTGTGGAGAAGAGGTTTACTGTATAAATTAGCAAAAGTTGGAAAGGGCAAAAATATATTTAATGTTATAAAGAAACAGTTCTTGAAAATTTTCTTGAAATGGAACAATACTTGTTCCAATTTCTTTGAAACCTTTCGAGGAGTAAAACAGGGGGCTCCATGAGTCCCACTCTTTTAATTATTTTACAACTTACTCTAAATATAAATAAAACAAAAACTTTGATTCTACAGCCACATAGTGCCAAAAGTATAGTTTCTTTTCTTAACTACAATAGTAATATGATAAAAAAGGCATTGGAATATAAATTCCAAGGAACTCTTATAAAGAGCAATGATAACCTTATGTCAAGTTAAGAAGACATAGCGCAAAAACCAGCAAAGTCATGTTTTCGGTTAATGCCAAGGTAGCTTCATTGGAAAATCTGCCAATAGAAATTTCTAATAATCTTTTAAAAAAAATAAGTACAACCAGTTTTAACATACAACTCAGAGATATCTTCTATGGATAGATATTTAACACGATACAGAGCTAAGATAAGAGCCGATCGAAATAAAAAACCTTTGACCAAAGTTCGTTTATTGATAAAACTCCATTTGAAAAGGTTCACATTATTTTTTTGTAAATTTCTGCTGGGCACCAGAAAAACAGCTTCAAATATAGAAGTCTTAGCAGAACTAGGAATTATCTCCTTCGAGCATTTTATTTTTTCACAGTCTCTATCTTACCTAGCAAGACTGAATTCTGAAAATATAAATCCTTTGCTTAAAGAAGCATTTTAATTTAGCACAGCATTGTCATAGCTGCTGGACTCGCATGGTACTTATTCTTGGCTATAATGAAAATATTTAACTGTTACTTTATAAAAATTTAAATAGAGAATTAGCTTCCAATGAATTTTCTACAAGAAAATGCTTCACTAAGTTGAGAATTAGTCACTGTGACCATCATTTAGAAATAGAAAAAGGTCGCTATTATAAAATTCCTAGAAAGGATAGAATATGTAAACTGTGCTACTTGCTGGAGGATGAAAAACACTTCCCCGTTGAATGTAAAATGAACACAAATCTAAGGGATAATCTATTTGAAAATTGTCTACCAACTCATAATTTTAATATCTTACCCAAGAACAAAAAGTAAAAGAAATGCTAAACCCCTCAATCATGGAACATGTAAAAAAGATTGGCTCCTTTATAAAACATCATTAAAACTGAGGGCAGAAGTCTTATAAATTTTTCCATGTTATCATTTATTATAGAATTTTAATTTCTTTGCTATATTATGTTTTGTTTTGTTTTGTCACAAAATAAATATGTTTATATGACAATAAAGAAATTACTATTAATAAAGTTAAATCTAATATATAAATTAAAGATTAGTTTAGTGCTCATTTTGGATACTCGTTTATAAACAGAAATTTATTTAATTTTAGAGGCTATGTAGCTATAGATAAGTCGACTGGAAAACAAATATGGTACGGTGATGCTCTTTGGAATCCAACACTTCCGGTAATGGACATACAGGGTGGCATCATTGGGACGGATGGTCATAATCTGGTAAAATATGAGGCAAACGGAACTCAAGACAAACCCTCAATACCTATAGCACCATTTCTGTATCCTGTATTTAGGTAACTATTATGAGCAACAGCGACTAACTGTTGCCTTGTTCATAGGTCCACACAACTTTCGGGTTTTATTCCTTGTTGATGCCTTGTTCACATGTTTACACAACTTTCGGTTTCATTCCTTGTTAATGCCTTGTTCATAGGTTTACACAACTTTCGGTTTCATTCCTTTTTGATGCCTTGTTCATAGGTTTACACAACTTTCGGTTTCTTTCCTTGTTGATGCCTTGTTCATGGTTTACACAACTTTCGGGTTCATTCCTTGTTGATTACTTTTTCGCGACTTTCTAATTATATAGAATATACAGTATTAGATAAACAATGTAGTGTGCCGCATACGATGGTCTGGCTTTGGTAATTTGTAAATAAATACTTTCAATACAAGTGATACGATTACAGCTAGTATTTATAACTGTTTTGACCATATCTTTCTTTTTGTTAAACGTGCTACAAATTTTGAAAATCTTCTTAGAAAAAGAAGGTCAAGCTGCTTGAGTAAAATATTTTTATTAAGTATCGTCTGAGTTTCTCATTAAGTTGGAATTAAATACGAAAATAATTGTGATTGATCCTACAAGTTTAAGTTGAGATATCGAATTCATTAATGTGTTGCTCGGAGTGTTATTGTGTCTGTTTGTTTTGTTCACGCATCGTTGTCAATATAATGGAATTTGATGCGACTGTCAAACAAGTGAGAGGTTTAGCTAGCTATAAAACCAGGTTCAATCCACCATTTTCTACATAAGAAAATTCCTGTACCAAGTCAGGAATATGACAGTTGTTATCCATTCGTTTGATGTGTTTGAGCTTTTGATTTTGCCATTTGATTAGGGACTTTCCTTTTTTAATTTTCCTCGGAGTTCAGTATTTTTGTGATTTTACTTTTTACTTTGTGAGGCTCCTATCTCAGCCCATAGTGATTCCTATTTTCCATAATTTTAATGTATTGTTTCCTCAGCCCGAAGATATATATTGTTCCCACATTTTTAACGCGTTACTATGAGGTTCACGGAGAGAGGTCTTCCTGTAGAGTTATGTGTTTGTTAAGAACGTCCGTCCTCCTTATATATTTTGTTGATAAATACTCAAAATTTGTCAAATTTATCAACATTGCAGTTTTGACTTTAGGCATTTGTTATTTGGTCATATGTTTAGAAATAAGCCGTATTGTTGATAGAACTTGAAAGTGCACACACGAAACTGTAATACTGGACATTTAAGTAAAGATTGAAAGACTGTTTTAAAATGACACTGTTGCAAACATTTTTAAAAAGGGGATTTTTTTATAATTTATTTGTCATTTCCGAATTGAAGTCAGTCAATTAAAAATATATACTTTTTATAAACAAAAGATAAAGGGTTAAAATGTTTGTATTAGTTTTTGTAGAAAAAATAAAGAAAATGACATGTAATATATATTTTTCATTTCATAAAAGGGATATAGAAATGAAATATCAGAATGGAGGATGGAAGATCTTTTTCAACCTTTATTTAGTTATAACCCCCTTTCAACTGATAAGTACCAAGGATTAACATGGAATAGAACTATGGTCATATAAAAGTAAGAACATGAGTTTTATATTGCAGGCAAAGGTGATGTAGTCGGAGATGTAACTTTAAAAGGTAAACGTCGGTTTGGATGTGCAGGATGTATAAATACGTAGCCACATTAGACCGGTATGAGGACGTTAAATCCGATGCCCGTCAGTAAAATGAGTGCCACGCTCTGTACATGCTAAGGAACCCTTGAAACAACCCTCCGAGGTTCCGTATGTTGCCTATGGGTTGATTGGGGTATAGAAACATGGTCACCCCTGGACTTCTCCCATTTGACAGTAAAATTGATTGAATTTGGAGAAAGATGAAGACAAGCAATGTTGCTTATTTATGTATTCTATTTGTTTATAATATATCATCTTATATACCATGATTTAATTCATTGGACAAAATATTGTTTAAACCAAAGTTGGTCGTTCATTTTGGCTTTGCGGGAAGTATAAATATGCAGCCACGTTTGACCCAATTCCGGACGTAAAATCCGATGCCCTTCAGTGAGTGCCACGCTCTCTAGAAGTAAAAGACCCCCTTTTTTGGAGTTTTTATATAGCATTTCAAGTAAAAAATTCTGCTATTTTTCCTATCCTCCTTTTCCGGTGGCAGTCTGATCTTCATTCCGGTCGAACAACCTTGCAGAACCTTCAAATTCTATTAATTGTTACTTTCTTCCAATCCTTAATATGCATGAAATATTTGCCACTGGAAATTAAGCAAGGAACAATGAATCCAATTGTTTTATAGAATATTCTTTTGTTTAACTATTACACTACTGTTCCAGGTTTAGGGTTGGTTACGGGCTCACAAATATTTGTATCCCCGTCACATTCTCCATGTAACCCATAAAACAAATGATGGCAGACCGAAACCAACGACAACCACTGGATTACAACTTTTTTGTTTGGAATAGGCACATACATAATGTGGTGGTATTTAACATAAAAAGATATAGCAAAAATACCGAACTCTAAGGTAGATTCAAAAAGGGGAAGTCTATTAAAAATGACAAAACCAAACGCTATTAATCAACGGAACAAGTGAAAAACAACTGCCATACTCCTAACTTGGTACAGGCATTTTCCAAAGAAAATTGTGGGTTAAACCTGGTTTTATAGCTAGCTAAACCGCCACTTGTATGACAGTTGCTTATAATTATAGTAACATATGTGTGAGCATTCACCCCCTTCCTTATCTTAAACAGATGTGTAACAATACAACATAAGAACAAACTATCAAAAGCTTGTAAAGGACTTCATTCATCACATCGGTAATATGCACAAAAAGAAATATTACCGATCATATCTCTTTTGTTTTGATTGTTTGTTTGTTTGTTTGAATTGGTTAGTTTTGTTGTGGTTTTTTTGTTGTTGTTGTTTTTTTTTTAGATGTGGTTAATCCAGAAAAGTTAAGTATTTGCTATCACTGAAATATCGGCATTACAATTGTTAATTTGATGCCTTAAGGAAAGATATACATGTAGGTCCATAAATGAATAAGAAACAACATTCTAAAGCAAATCCGCTTTATTACTAAATAAACCTTTACTGGCGTAACCTAAAGGGTGTTTTGTGTTTAGGAATTAGGTTAATTAAAACAGCTAAATTTTTACATTTCCGCCCAAATACAAGTACAATTTACAATTTATCTCAGTGCAAGGTTGAGGTTGTATTGAACATAATTTACATTTGTCGGTCCTGAGTTATCTCTCTTCACTTTGAAAATGTATAAAATTTTAGCTTACCTCTAAATTTACAAAATCATTTGATATTGTAAAACAATGACAAGAACCAGCAAACACAGGTCGAATTCCAGTTCTAGTGTTTGACACATTTCGCTTTTGTCGTATCAGAGTTATACCTTTATAATTGATGGAAATAGGCAAACTGGTTGCTACTCAATAATGTATCTTTTGTTTTGTCTTAATATATATTGAACTATTAGAATTATTCTGTTGTTGTTCAATCGCTGTATCTGGTGGTTGTTGGAACTTACATTGGGTTGGGGTTGAGAAGAAATCAAAATAGCTAATATCTACTTTAGTCGTTAATCTTTGTCGCGCCGACTCTTTTCACAAAAAAGGACTTACGAGTAAGATTTTTTGTGAAAAGAGCCGCAGATGTAAACTAGCTATAGAAGTATCAGTAAAATTACAATTTTTAGAAACCTACGAGGAAATTCAAAATACAGTAACAAGCGCTATAAGCATATTTTGAGGAACAGTAGTACACTATAATACTTTTATCATTATGATTGTTTTCTTTGTTTCAGTGTACAACTAACAGAAAATGGTATATTAATTTTTGCATCGATGGCAGGAATTATATTTGCATATGATACTCGTGAGTATTAACATTATATGATGTATGCCTAATATTGTTTTAGTCTATTGGTATCTTAGTAAATTAAAAAGGAGATTTGGAGTAAAAAAAACTAATGAGAAGTTATTATGTAAGTTTAAGGGAGATGTGTCATGGAAGTTGGTAAATATCTTTTGCACATTATTATTTTTAAATCGCAATTCACTCCGGCCGGTGCATTGTATTTGCGCGCATTACAATTGCGCGCAGCTTTTGATTACAATTGCGCGCATTTATTATACAGGTACACTCAGGTAAATACAGAAAAGCAGGTAGATCATTCTTTTTATCTATTTATTTATCTATCATTTATATATTTAACTATTCCGTTAGTCTAAGTACCCTGATTACCAATGAGGTGGAAGAGGGATGTCGAACTGAATAAGTCCGTTTTATTATGCACAAACACTAAATCCTAGAAATATATACAAATAAAAATAATCACTCATTTCATATCATTTTTTTCTAGATGGCATACCTGTAGCTTCTTTACCACTTCCAGGTACATTTGACCAGGTAAAAGGTAAATTTATACCTGTTTCTACACCTGTTATTGTGGAAAACCGTGTTTATGTCTTAACAGAATTTAAGCCAACAAGTGATACTGAAGCCAAGGTATAAATTAATGTTAATATAAGAACATGCTGAAGATTTTGATAAGTTTTTTTTTATAGAAAATATATATATCGATACTAAGTAGTTTTTGCAACAAAGCACACACATTGAAAAATGAAAACAAAAATACCGATCTCCAAGGAAACGATTTTATTGAATAAAACAGGGAGGGTTATATAAACTTTTTTTTTTCAAAAATGTAACGTGTAAAGTCTCATATCTGCCAATTTTTAAGAATCAAAGAGAATATGAGAGTTAATTTCATTGAGACAGCAACCCAAAAGTTTTTATACGTATATGATGTATTAGTATTCTGCTAGTAATAAGCCAAAAACTCTTGAAAACAAAATTGTGTTAAACATTATGAGTATAAATATATTTATATCAATCAAAGATTAAATAGTATTAAGTCTATATGATAAATAATATCTTGAATGTAAGCTATGAATAAGTTTAAGAGAAAGTACGAAAGTTGTACAATAAAACTCTTCTTTTTTTTTTGCACAAAGGACAAATACATAAAGAAATAAAATCACTTAGATACAACTAAATTTTCTGACAAGGCTTCTAAAATAAGACAGCTAAACTAACCTGATGCTTAACTCTCACCTTTTCTACCTCGAATAGCGGAATATCGAAAGGAACATGGAAAACCATACAATAAAAACCACAGCACAGCTCAATCATATCGATGTTACAGTCAACAAAAAAACTCGTACAAAAAAAACTATACCAAATACCGTATTGAACGCCTTTTTAATTACTGAAGTATCTATTGTAATGATAAAGCAATAATGATTTGTTACACAATGCAATCCGAGTCCTTGTACTTGTGAATAAATATGTGGGGTATACACCAATCAGACCGAGTCTGCATAGGTTGTGAGTAATTAACAGTCCCCAAAGTACCATCAACTCAGTGGTCGGTGCTTCGGTACTGATATGATTTATATCATACCCTTTTTATATTCACCCATGGAAGTATTATATTGACAGGAATAACAACAACGCCAGTTCAAAGGTTTCATCTGCGTTACTCGTTAATTAGTTTACGATATGGAATGATAATGGATTCTCGGCATGTGATCAATCAAATCACTGACACTTTTCGGTCATTTTCGTGTTCACGGAAAATTACGAATAGACGGTTGTTGTCGTATATACGTACGAAGTAACCCGAATAGTTCACTCGTTACATTCCGCTGCTGTACGCTGCCGAATAGAGTCATTCATTCAATGTTGATTTTAGTCTATTTTTCCTATTTACTTCCATGATTCACCGATAATAAATTTAGAAACTACTTCCTAAAGAAAATAGGATTCCAACTCCTTCAGGCAAAGTTGACAAATGATGGATTGAGCTGTTTTTTAGGTTCCATTTGGTTGTAAGCTCCTTACGTATCCAAGTAGTTATACATCCTTGGCTTTCAAATCTCAGGGTTTGAGCGTTGCTTGTGAAGGTAAATCAAGAAAAGCGCTTCGGACGCACCATAATATTATCAAGTACTTTTTTCATCAACATAGTTCATCCATTTAATTCTCTAAAAAGTTATAAACATTATTCTAAAAGGTTATAAACATTAGATGCAAGACACAGCATGCGAGATTTTTGACTAGGGACAGGCACATATGTGGCATTAATCTTTTTGGGGGAAAATTAAACTATTCATTTGTTTATTGCGAACAATGGAATAAAACAAAAGGTACATATAAAAGGGTTCTATAAAAACATTCAGATATACTAGACTAAAAATAGCAGCGGCTGTGGTTTTTCACATTTTATATACAAAACGTGCAAAACAAATACACTAAAGCAGATATTATATATAATACTTTAATGTGTTACAGCCTAATGTTGTTAGAATACAAAGACTTTACGCAATCGATGTATTTCTTAGAATGGTTGACAGACTCCATATATCTTGGTACTTCGACTTTGAGATAGAGACAGACATTTTAGCAAAACATAAGAATGGCGACACTTTAATTTTCGATTTAAAACAGAGCAAACAATTAAACGAAAACAATGAAAAGGTCCTACGATTTAAATCTAGAAAACAGAAGATTGATGACGTTCAAGGTGATCCTCTAATCATGGCGGATTCTCAACGACATTCTGTTTACGTCATTTTACCCTCACCGGAAGGTAAAACTGATTCACAAAGAACTTTCTGGGCTATCAAGGATAACGGTGACAGTTCAAGTCTGTCGTATAAAAGATTTATACCTGCATCACGAATGGCAATGTATGAAACAAATGGATCGGTTATAAATAGAAAGCAAAAGGAGGAAAAGAATTTACAGGAAAATACAGCTTCTAGATCAAGTACATTAAGTAAGACTACCGAAATCCCAGTTTGGCTTTTAGCTCAGAAAAATAATTTTATTCACAAAGTTATACCACTAAATGGATCTGTGGAAACTACTTTAAACTTATCCACTATACTTGGAGGTGAAGCCGAGGTGACTTCAGACATTATGGTATCCCGAAAGGGTGACAATGAAATGGACAGTTTAATATTTGGAGTCACAGTTATGGGATCAATAAACCATAATTTAGTCGTGTCATTACATGCAAGAGGTGATATACAATGGAAAATAAAAACGCCATTTAACGTTTCTGTAATCGGACAAATCGCTGGCATAGCATCAGAGGGAGCCAATTCGGATGATATGCTTGTTGCATTTGGTTATGGAAGTTCATTTTCACAATCAGTTGTTTTTGGAATACAATAAATAAACCCAATAAATATTATGAACAGTGTCTACTTTCAAAATGATAACGAACGAGGAACAGAATCAGTTTTAACACAATAAAGCAAAAGAAAACAGAATCAATAAACAAAACCAGATGTATATTTTGTGCAAATAATATACACACCGTAGTGAATAATACATTTTATAGAGTACACTCAACAGCATCAAAGGAGAACAATCAATATCTACGTCGAGCATATGATATTTTGTTGAACATCTATAGCTAAAAGATATCCGTACATTCTGATACATAAAATATGTTCAATAGCATTTACAACAGCGAATTATACATTCTGGTTGGAGTTCGTTTTTAAAAGTGATTCGTGCGTTATTCTACAATCTACAATAAGGTTATTTTTGTTATTTTATAATTTGATTTCTTAAAAAAATAATTCATTAGACATCTTCATTTATCATTAATTCAAGTACAAATGTAACATATCACACAGAGGAAGACAGAGACACATGAAAGAGACAAAACACAGATATATCACCTCCCTTTATTAACCTTTAATCCAGAAAAGCGCTTCCGGCGCATAAAATTTTTAAAGTGTTGTTTTCATTATTTTTGTGTGTGACTATGCTATTTTGCAGAGTGGCCTAAACTGCTGGAAACCCAATTTGAACACAAATCTAGTTGAGAAGCTCAAGATGCAAATCTATAATAGTTGGGCTGAATGTAAGATGTATACTAGTCATATATACTCTGCCAAATAGCCTATACAAAATATAGCTTATGTTTAACTCATTTATATACGGTATCAATATAAAAGGAAGGGCATTTCATTGTTTCGGAAATTACTACATTGTATTTTATCAATGACAACAGGCAATTGTATGTTCAATTATTACACATTATTTCCGATAAAAATTGTTTTTCTCAAATTTTAAATGATGACTTGTCGTTTATTTTGAATTACATCAATAAGTAACAAAATAAACTACTTTTAAATTGAAACGTTTGTCCGACAATTAGGGCCTGGGTAATGATAAAGATCGAACTTTAGATTGTTTGTAGTTATTATATTTATATAGATATACGTACACCGATCTCCAGATATATACATATATTTATCTCAATCAAAAACTACTGAACAATTAATTATAATCTGTTAGGTAGGCAATTGCATATGATTATATTGAAATTAAAATGCTGCGCGGTCTATTAATTTTCGGAATACTAGTCCAAGGGACATATTGTGCGGTCATATCGAGTTGTCCTGCGTATGGATGCAGACCTTCAGGAACATTTTCTTATTTGATCGACATTCAATCAAAGGAGCCTACAGTTTTCTGGAACACAACATACGGTGCCATACCAGACAGCTTAGGATGTGTTGGAAACATCAATAATATTGTATGTCCCTACAAAGGACCAACATCAAAGTAAGTATACCATACATTGCCATACCAGACAGTTTAGGATGTGTTGGTTACATATAATATTATTTGTCAATACAAAGGACTAAAATCAAATTAAGTATAACATTCAGAACCATATTTCTAGGTACCATCAATAATATTGTATAACCCTACAAAGGACCAAAATCAAAGTAAGTACAACATTCAGAATCATACTAGGCAGTTTAGGATGTGTCGACATTCAATCAAAGGAGCCTACAGTTTTCTGGAACACAACATACGATGCAATACCAGACAGCTTAGGGTGTGTTGGAAACATCAATAATATTGTATGTCCCTACAAAGGACCAAAATCAAAATAAGTAGAGTTGTCTCATTGGCACTCATACCACATCTTCTTATATCTATAACATTCAGAATCATACCAGGCAGATTAGAATATGTTGGTACCATCCATAATAGTGTATGTTCCTACAAAGGACCGAAATCAAAGTAAGTACAACATTCAGAATCATACCAGGCAGCTTAGGGTGTGTTGGTACCATCCATAACATTGTATGTCCCCACAAAGGATATATTGCAAGATATATCAGACGGCCTGGGATGTGTCGGAAACATTATTAACTTTGTATGTCCCTACAAAGGACTAAAATCAAAGTAAGTACAACGTTCTGAATCATACCAGACAGCTTAAAATATGTTGATAACATCAATAATAGTGTATGTCGCTACAAATGAACACCATCAGAATAAATACAAGATATATTGCCGCAAGATATATCAGACGGCCTAGGATGTGTCGGAAACATTAATAACTTTGTATGTCCCTACAACTACCAAAAATCAACGTAAGACTTAGTACTGGCCCCTGGGGGCAATTGAGATGTTCACCTCATACGAAGGCAATAAATGTACACTGTGCCAACACTAATAAAGTAAAGCTGATCTAGCTTGACTGAATTCAGAATAAGACCCATTTAAGGAATGACTGTAATATTTTTTCTGTCTATGAAGAAATAACATCAAAAATGTGTTGCACACTGAATAACCCGCGTAGCGGGTTATTTTATAGTATGCACCACATTTTTTTTTATGTTATTTCGAATAAACAGAAAAAATATTACAGTCATTTCTTATAATTTAATTCTAAATTCCATTTTAAACCGGAGTAAACCATGAAAAAACGTAAATGACGTCACGGTCACATGGCAAAGTTATGGCTATGAGCTGATAAACAAAACAACGTCAGCCAATCAGAAGACGCGTTACATCCAAAATTAAATTATTTGAGTATAATAAAAATGGCAGGATTCCAAACCATACATACTTAAGGGAAGCAACTTCGTATACATCCAATGTATAGGCAAAATTAATGTCCCAAGTTACCTCATATACATACATTAAAGTACGTACTATCTGAACCAATTTCCAGTCAATCCGTGGCATTAATTACAAAAAATGAAAACGGAAACACAAATCGTACATAACTGCCTTGGTTATTTCTCATTTAAAACAACATTGAAAATTTCATAAGTTTAGATGACAGTGAGCTCTTTAGAAAAAAAAACTTACTTTATTTCAGTGGTTATGTGGGTATTGGTAGCGATAAAGGTAATCAGATGTGGTACGATAGAGTTCTTCATGATCCTTCCCTTCCGGTGATGGATATAGAAGGCGGTATCATTGGAACTGATGGACATTACATGGTGAAGTATGAAGCGGATGGAACACAAATAAAACCATCTAAACCAGTCGATCCTAGTCTGTTTCCATTATACAGGTAACACAACAAAGATAACATTTAGCGTCCATGGATTTTATGATACATAACTTCGTGAAAAAGGGAGATGTTAATTGGAACATAATTATTCATTTGAAAATTTCAACCAAATAATCTCATAACAGCTTAAAGTTTTGATCCCGTATATTAACGGTTATATTATCAAGCATACCAGAATTTAGTATTCAAGTTTACTGTATACCAAAGATAAGAACACAACAATAAACATCAGTACTTGGTGGATATGATTTATTCCCCAATATCAGTATTTAACAATCATTATCAGAGCTCCACCCCGCCGGTAGTCAGTTTTCATTTGACATGACGTGACCTTCTTAAACCAGCAGAAATAATTAAAAAACTTTATTCAAAAGCTCTCAAAACCGGGAATATATAGATACAACATGGTTAGCGTTTGCGTTTACGTTCGATGATTGTACAGTGCAATACACAGAAAAGCCAATTAAAAATCTGTTCATTATTGAGACAACCAAGACATTTAAACTATATATTGATGGACCTGTGTGAATTACTACTTTACGTACAAAAATTACATACACTACTTATAAAAATAAGAAGATGTGGTATGATTGCAAATGAGACAACTCTCCACAGGAGACCAATGACACAGAAATTAACAACTATAGGTCACCGTACGGCCACAACAACGAGCAAAGCCCACACCGCATAGTCAGCTATAAAAGGCCCCGAAATGACAAATGTAAAACAATCCAAACGAGAAAACTATTGCTCTAATTTATGTACAAAACAATGAACAAAAAACAAATATGTTACACAGCAACAAACGACAACCACTGCATTACAGGCTCCTGACTTGGGACAATAACATACAGAATGTGACGGGGTTAAACTCGTTTGAAGGCGCCAACCCTCCCCTAACCTATGACAGTGGTGTAACAGTACAACATAAGAACAAACTATAAAAATCAGTTGAAAAAGGCTTAACTCATCAGACGGATACAAATAGAAATACATCTAACAAAAACACAAAGTGGACGTGGACGGGTACTTATACATCCCCACAAAAAAATGAAAATAAGTACAGATCTGAGAGTACTCGCAGTTACTGACAGCTAGTTCAAAGCCAATAACAACTAATTAAAAAAATCATACATCTACGACTAAAACATCAATCAGTACACATCCAACACCAAATGGAACTAAAGTAAAGACGTCATAAATAGTCAGAGAAAAAACATGACCTTGTGCAATGCCAAGATACAGGTGTCGACAGATTGTAGAGCCATGAATGTGCATATGTATATAAAAATAATATTTAGTTTGATTTAAATTTACTGATAACAAAATCATCAGTATACTCTGGTTTGTTGTTATAGATTATATTAATATTTGTATTTAACAGTTACATGTATATATCATTTTCATCCAATTGTATATTATTCTATTTTACTATTCTAATAATAGTGCAGTGCAAGTGCATGGTGGACACTCTTCTGTGATAATTCGATTTTTCTAATAGATTGGATTTGAGAAAGCATTCATATTTTCCCGCAAAACGTTCTTGAGACATTCTTCCACGTGCGTTAACACAATTTTTCTGTACGTGTGCATAGATATTATTAATGATTTTTTACTTATATATATATTTCTAACGACAAAACATTTTCATATTATTAATTTATGTTCTAAACAAAAATATTTTTATGAGTATTCATTGAAGAAATGAACTTATAACAAGCGATAAGGAATGTTATTTTGCACTCGATAATGTCCGCGTATTTATAGATCGGTTACCAGTCAAAAACGAAAGTTACGTAAGTAGAAATATCTGTGGCAACAATACATCGGAATGCCCTCACGGTCATCGCGATGTAAAAATCTAACTAAAGTATGAGAAAACAGTTCTACCCTTTAAAAATGGTTTAAAAGCATGGAGCATTTTTGTATAATATAATTCCGATTCAGAGAGCATGAAATATGAGAATCTTTTTTTCCGCCTATAAAATATAAAAGTCCAGTTTGGTAATATGATCTGCGTACAAGTAAGGTGTCGAGCGTAAGTTGTTTTTTAAGTATTTTTCATTGTGCTTAAATTTATTTCGTTACTAATTTGTTAGGTCGAAAATACGTTCGAGGTTCATATTTGCGTATATTTCATATATTTTTTAAAATCTTCGCACTATAAAAGCACAAAATTGTAAAAAAAAAATATCTGACATGTATACAGAGGTCGGATGGGAAATATTCTGCATATGCCCAAATTAATATTTAAATTAGGTTAAGTTGCGACGGCGGTTTTCATTGGGTGCTAAAAGGATACATGGTGCTCTCAAACTCCCATCATCCAATGCTGCATCCTATTAGTTCAAAAATCAAACTAATTTCAAGTCTATTTGGTACTCAACTCACAACAAAACAACTCCTTTGTTCACCAATTCATACCTTGAACATCAATAATTCAATTATGAGATGACAAAAAGATAGGTTAATCAATTGGGCATTTAAATTCAATGAATAGAAACTTTCAAAAGAAGTGAACATAATTCATTAATGGTCAGTTACACCTGGAGCATGCATCTTGGTCAGTTGATTCCTAAACAAAAGATTTGTATGTTTTTGAGTTCTAGAAAAAGAAAGGCCTCACTTATTCATGCTTTGTTGTTCATGAAATACTCTAATTATTTACAAATACTACTGATTCATGCCATAAATTGAAATAGAAATTGGAAGTCCCTGTCAACTGGGATGTTCCCTGAAAACAGTGAATACCCCACTTTTCCTGACTTGTTCCCAACCTGTGTCCACTACAATCATTTACAGTGAAAAGTGCATTAAAATTAAGAAATAAAAGAAGTCTGATGTTTATTCCTCAGCTGCAATTTTTGTAATATAGAAAAAAATGTTCAGTCTCTGTCTGTTCAAATACAAAGTCCTCTGGTTTAGCACCCCCTCTGAACGAAATGAGCCATGTGGATGCCATGATGACTTTTATGTCTGGTTATTTTTCAAAAGTATTACCGTAATTTTAAGCTAGAGGCTACAAAAGTTAAATTACAGTAGTATCCAGTTCAAAAACTATCTGAATACCAAAGAAACCGACGACTGGTTCTTTTTCAAAAGTAGTACCGTAATTTTGACCTATACAGTTAAAAGTTTGTTTACATTAGCAACCAGTTCAAAAGCTATCTGAATACCGAAAAGATGTGAAAACAAAAGTGAACAACCACCAAAATATTGTCGGTCATCAGGACTGCCACTACACATGCAATTTTCGGTCCTGGCTGATTTTTGGCGGTCAGGACCGACGATTTTCGAGAACACTGTCATCTTACAAGTTACATAGAAGATATATATAACTGCCCTCCATTAGTTATGCTTACTTAACTCAGTTTTTATAGCAGTGGCTTACTATGCCAGGGGTTTTAGGTTCAAATCAAGGCTGAATCAGTAATTTACTTTATCAGACAAATCATGCTTTCCGGTTACAATCGGTGTCTAACTAAAAAATTCGTAAGGGTTCCGCAGAACCCAGTGTCTCGCCTACTTTTGCTGTTAATCGCAGGCTCAACAAAAATGAGGAAAAAAAATAATAACAATATTACTTTCGATACAATCTTTTGATTGTAAGAAGCTTCTGTCCCAATTTGGTAAAAATCCAGGATAGTTTATGAATCTAATAAATGTTTTAAATCTTTAACTGCAGACTGTATGTAATGTTAACTGGAAGAAAAACTAAGTCCATTTATAAGTAAAATACTGATAAACAGGTACAAATTTTTTTTAAATTTCCTTCAAGATACTAGCTTTTGATCATAAACAAGCTTCTAACCAAGTTTGGTACAAATCCAGGATAGTTTAAGAAAGTTATTAAAATTTTAAAAACTTTAACCACAGAGTGAATGTAATGTTAACTGGCAGAAAAACTAAGTCCATTTATAAGTTAAATACGGAAAAAATGGAATTTTGTTTTTTACAAATTTACTTCTGGATACTATCATATGATCATAAACAAGCTTCTGTCCAAGTTTGGTAGAAATCCAGGATAGTTTAAGAAAGTTATTAAAATTTTAAAAACTTTAACCACAGAGTGAATGTAATGTTTCCTGGCAGAAAAACTAAGTCCATTTATAAGTAAAATACGGAAAAACAGGAATATCTTTTTTACAAAATTTAATTCTGGATACTATCTTATGATCATAAACAAGCTTCTGTCCAAGTTTGGTAGAAATCCAGGATAGTTTAAGAAAGTTATTAAAATTTCAAAAACTTTAACCACAGAGTGAATATTTGTGGACGCCGCCGCCGACGGAATGTAGGATCGCTATGTCTCGCTTTTTCGACAAAAGTCGAAGGCTTGACAAAAACCAAGGGTGTTTAAAAGTAAAACCTACAGCCAGAGTAAGTGTTGTTGATATTGCCCGTATGTCATTAGGTATGTTGACGCGGGGGAGTGTAGCCGTGCTTCCCCTTCGGTACCTCGAATTACCAAATAACACTGTTATTATCCGAATAACACTTGAAATTTTAATATTAGCACATATTGATGACTTTTAAACATTGATTATTAAATGATATTATATTATAAGTGTATTTTATAACTTAAAAATGATTTACAGAAAGCAGGTAAGTTCATAAAGATCATTATAAATATAGTGTGTACATCCAACATGGCGACCAAGGAAATCACATTGGGAAGAATAAAAGAATGATTGCATAGGATCCCTCAACGTGTTCATTTTAGACCACAAAAGTGGAGCCCTCACGCCACTTCGTGGCATTACCCCTTCCCCTTAGTCTCACCTTGTCAATACTTAACCATGTGCTTGTGGATTACTCGTTTAGCTGAGTTGGTAGAGCAGCGACTTTCTTCTGTGCAATGGGTCACAGGTTCAAATCACGATTGGTTCAGTAATTCATTTTGAAAAGCAAATAATGATCTCTGGGTTACGTATTATTACTATTAATCATAGTGAAGTTAATCATATTAAGTTAAAAGTCATGTACAGCTGTGGGAGCGGTACAGCCTCTTTAAAAGGCAAATCCTATTTATTGTCGCGCGATCTTTTTATGCCTTATCCTAGTCGTTTCTTTTATTTCTTCAATTCATTTATGTCATTGTTTGGGGTATCTGTAGCCGTAGATAACTTCAGTAGGCGACGGTATAAAACTATGCAAATAACTTTTGTAAGGGCTTTTTAGAGAAATCCAATTAAAAAAACATCACTGTAAGTTTCCTCTGCCACTAAAATACCTAATTGTTCTCCTTCTTCTGACTTGGCACCGCTTAAAAACACAGGGGTTTCGATGCAGGACCGTCGCCATCTTAATTACAGCTTCACCATAATGCATAAGTATCTGCATCTCCGATTGGCTCCCTGAAAGTGACGTATTAGATATCTTTATTTGGCATTTGCAGGATATTTCCCAACTATCTAGTGATAACTTAACACAATATATATAAAAATGCTTTTGAACAAGCAGAAAAATAATCGATTAACTAAACAAATGATTACTCTTACAGTGTACAGCTTTCAGATAATGGAATGCTGGTATTTGCTTCGATGAATGGTGTCTTATTCGCCATGGATACAGGTAATTTATTATCATTCTCAATGGATACATGTAATTTATTCTTATTCTCAATGGATACATGTAAATTATCCTTATTCTCAATGAATACAGGTAATTTTGTCTTATTCTCAAAGGATGCAGTTATAGTTTGGTCTTATTTTCAATGGATGCAGTTATTTTAGTCTTATTCTCGATGGATACAGTTAGTTTAATCTTATTCTCGATGGATTCAGTTTGATTAGTCTTATTTTCAATAGATACAGGTAATTTAGTCTTATTCTCAATGGATACAGGTAATTTATTTTTATCCTCAATGGATGCGGATAGTTTACAGCCTTATTTTCAAAGGATACAGGTAATTTAGTCGTATTCTCAATGGATGCAGTTAGCTTAGTCTTATTCTCAGTGAATATAGGTATTTTATATTCTCAATGGATGCAGTTAGCTTAGTCTTATTCTCAATGGATACAGGTAATTTATTCTTATTCTCAATGGAAACAGATACTTTATTTTTATCCGCAATGGATACATGTAATTTATTCTTATTCTCATTAATGCTTATTCTCAATGGATACAGGTAATGTTGTCTTATTCTCAATGGATGCAGTTAGTTTAGTTTTATTTTCAATGGATGCAGTTAGTTTAGTCTTATTCTCGATGGATGTAGTTTGTTTAATCTTATTTTCGATGGATGCAGTTAGTTTAGTCTTATTCTCAATAGATACAGATAATTTAGTCTTATTCTCAATGAATGCAGTTTGCTTAGTCTTATTTTCTCAATGTATGCAGGTCGTTTAGTATTTTTCTCAATGTATGCAGGTAGTTTAGTCATACAGGTTGTTTAGTAATTCAGTTGTTTTACAATCGAGCGAGGTCTTTATACATATCCTTATATATTTTTCATTTCATTTATTCATTTTTTTTGTACTATAATAATTAAAAAAAATTTTATCGTATCGCCGCACAGTTTAATACAATACTATGATGGCTATTGGTTCATTTCATTCTTCAATTCATTTTAGACACAAGAATAATAATATTGTTCCACAAATTGTGAATTACAAATAAAAATTCACATACAAAATGTGTTTGCAGCTAAGAACTTTCTTATATTAAGATTCACTCTTATTTTACAATGTGCGATGCAATTATACATTATAGCTGGAATACCACTCGCTTCTATATCTTTTAATGGCAGTGTTGAGAGATTTAATGGATCATTTCTGCCAGTATCCACCCCTATTGTTGTTGGAACACGTGTCTATGTGTTGACGGAATTCCGGCCAGAAGAAGATACTCCTGAAAGCAGAAAGGTAACGTATATTTACTGGAGTAAATAAAATATGCAAGTGTTCACTTTGTTGTAAATTGAAAAAAAATGAACTTATCAATTTCAAAGAGTATTACTTTTTAATGCCTTCTACGCCAAAAAAAAAAAAACCAAAAAAAAAAAAAAAAAAAAACAACCGAAAAGTAAAAAAAAATGCAAAGCAATAGAAGCCATTTGAAAAGAATATAAAAGAAGTACATTTCGATATTTGCGAAAGTCTTGATCTTACCCGGAAAAATGGTTCCTTAAAAAATAATTCATGGGGGCTTGAATTTATTGTGATTTTACCATGGGTTGACCCTTTATGCTGAATATTTTAACACGAGCGACAGCGAGGGGTAAATATCAGCATAAAGGTTCAAACCGTGGTAAAATTAATATAAATTCAAGCCTCATAAATTATTTTTATTCTGATAGGACAAAGACAGCAATTCTTCTTGATCGAAGCGCTCTATGTGACGGGAAATGTTTGCTGTTCCCGAAATTGAACACACTGACTATTAATATTGACGTAAACGACGAAGAAAATTGAATAAGTGACATTATTAAACGATATATACAATAACATGTACTAAGACAGATTTTGATGAATTTAATTGACAATCTTACTTTCATTTAAGAAGATATGGATATACAAATTCTTACCATCGTTTATTTATGTTTTCATGTTTTGACGACTCTCAGTTTTCTATTCGTGCATTTCCCCGTAAAATCCTTACATTCTTACGTCATCGTTCAATAATAACATTTACCAACATCTGATGTGAGGTAAATCATTCATAAAAAGCATACGACGTGGGAGTTTGATTGGAACATCCCAAACAAATCATGACGTTGACGATCAGCTGACATATCAATACATTCATATTTTACCACGGGTGCGTACTCAAAGCGTTTGAAGAACGCCATATTAGAATTGTGATTATATGTGAACATTATTACAAAAATAGCATAGATATTTTCTTTGCTTTGATTGATATATTTTATTCACTTGAAAATTATATTATTCTAGCCAAACATTCTTGGTATGCAGCGTTTATATGCAGTTGATATTTTCCTGCGAATGGTTGATCGGCTACATATATCATGGTATTTCAATTTCGAAAGAGAAGAAAAAATAATAAATAGCGAAATATCGAAAGAATTAAAGACAAATGAGAGAGACACAACACTGAGGTTTAAACCAAGGCAACAAGTTCAAGGTAACCCTCTACTAATGGCTAACATACAAGAGGAAGTTATTTATGTCATTTTACCACCACCAGAGACTAATGCAGATATGCCGCAAATGTTCTGGGCAATAAATGACGAAGTTGACAACGCTTCACTTTTATATAAACGAACAATATCTGCTTCGCGCATGGCAATGTACGAGGTAAATGGCTCACTGAAACATAAATCTAAGTCTAATATAAAAACCAGAAAATCTAAATTATTGGACGTAATATCAGGCAAATCAGTTCAAGGAGTGGTTATTCCAATATGGCTTTTGTCAGAAAGCAGAAGTTTAATTTACAAGGTTTATCCTACAAATGGATCAATCGAACTTACAGTCAATCTAACTTCAATGTTAGGAGGCGCAGCGAAAGTGACGTCGGACATGATGGTGTCTCGGAGTGACGACAAGGGCATTGACAATGTTATTTTCGGAATAACTGTTAAGACATCTTCTATTACTAATTATATCATGTCATTGGACTCTACTGGTGAAATGCAATGGAAAGTACCTACACCATCAAACGTCGCTGTTATTGGGCAGATTGCGGGGATTTCATCTGAAGGCACCAATTTTGGCGATATGTTAGTCGCTTTTGGAAACAACAAAGAATCTGGTTCTGTATTTGCAATTAAATAAGGAAACTTAAACAAAGCCCTATGTAATGACGGGTAATAAAAATATGTTCATTTATAATTAGTTTATTAGTTGTATTTCAAATCTATCCCCCAAGTTACCATGTGGTTACACACACAGACAAAAAAAACATGCACATCATGTTTATCAGCCGAATAACTGTTGTTGGACATAAAGGCAAAGTTTCCAGAAAGCATTTGAGTTAAATATCGTTGGAGAATGGAACGACATTTGAAACTAAATAAAATAAAATAAATGTGACTTCTTACAGTGTAAAACTCATAATTCCTAGGGTATCTAGAATCTGAAAATCCTCTAAGCGAATTGAATTTTAAAACAGTTTTTAATAATATTTTTCAAAATATTTTCTCATAAAGTCATTTGCTAAAACAATGTTTAACTTTGACCATGTTGATTTTCAGATCAACACAAAAATCAAAGTTCGTGTTTGATCTTTTAATGTATACTAATAGCATCTTCCACACGACTATCTTGAAATTACAAACTTTATAAAGTACCACCATAGCATCATCTAAGCATAAAATTACTCTTCCCTGTATACATTGTTGTGGTTTCTAACTCATTGCATGCTTTTATCATAAGTAAAACCAGATTAAGTTCCGAAGTGGTGTCCATCTTGATTTTACAGAATTGCAAATTTGAGGGAAAAAATCATCATATCGTTCTGTGTGCATGATGTTATTCGCTATTATTAGACTATTACTAGTATTTGAAGAAAATTATGCTCGGATGTATTTTCGAAACGGTCCATTGTTTTATTATGTTCACTGGTGTTGGCCATGCGAAAATTTAGATCGGCACCAAGTAACATTTTTTTTAGGATGAATCCATGCATTGAATTTTACTCCAGGCTGTGAACAGTTCTAAAGAATGAGCTTTTAAGTGAATTGTCCATGGGGTCCTGTATTTCACTCTGTTCCAACGTGCCTGTCATCTTGGAGTTCATATCGGCAAGAAATGTACTTTTGAAAATTTCCTCTGATTAAAACGTATGGATACTGTCGTAAATATTTAATTTTTGGAGCGAAACTAGCAAATTCGGGAAGGACCACATAACATCCTGCCAAATAAAGTTCCACCTGACGCATCAGTATAAGAAGTAGATGTTAACAAACATCAAAATACTTACAGAAGCAAAAAGCATTTTGAATACTCAGATGGCCCTGTTTGAGCTTGTCAGCTAAAATAGATATGAATAAACCAAGATGTGAATGTGCGTCAATGAGTCGGCAACCTAACAATTAAACCACTAAATACATCTTCAGGTCTCATACAATCTTCGGCAACCCAGCGACAAAAAAATTTAAAAGACATCTAGAGGTCAACAATCTTCAACAATAGACAGTTGTACATAATGTCTAGCTCTAAATGTCCCGTTTCTTGCTCCCTTCTTGTTTGTCTTGTCTTTTGTGGAGTACGATGTTGATTGCATTTTTTTTGTCACTAAAATTTATTCACAATCTGTCCTTTTCATAGGGCTTGTTGTATTGTATAGACACTTATTGACTGATATAGATGTCTTTTGGAAGTTAGTGTTTTGTGTGGTTGGTTTGCATTGACCTATACTTCTTCAGATTTAAGACAAAGGCAAATGTTGAATGTTGCTTGTTCTTTAACAAAACTTATTTACTGATATAGATTACTTTATGAATTTTTGGTTTGTGTGTGGTTGGTTTGCTGTCGCATTGACTTATACCTGATATTTCCTTAGATTTAAGACTAAGACAAACATTAAATGTAGTAGGTTCAAGATGATGTATTGATAGGAGAGTCCATACATTTGGTTGCCAATGGGGTAAACTGCCCATGTATCTCAAACTCTGTGTATTTATTTCTACAATTCAGTAGAAGAGACTTTAAACAAGGCCTAGTCCTTACTCACCAATTCAAATGAAAAAAACAAAAACAAAAACAAAAACGGAAATGATAATAAGTTTGTGGTTTCAATTTTTTCAAGTATTTATTTGATTATTGTTTGGTCGTGTTTTTTCACGATCGAAAAAAAAATCTGGGATTTTTAGGTCTTGGAAACTTTTCTGCAAAAGACCGAAAGAAGCCATTAACAGTTTTTTCACAACTTTTTATGTACAATTTTTCAAAGCTATTCGGTTTTTGAGCTGTAAAAAATGCGTCTATCCCAAAATTTTCATCTTTTTATATTCATATAGATTTGGATGTGAATTGGTAGTCTTGGTTAATTCATAATCGTTGGTATACATTCAATGAAAACCATATTAAGAGTAAACAAAAAAGCTACAATAAGTTAAACAAATGTAAGATTGTTTGTCTCATGATAATACAACCTTTTCATTATCATTCTTTGTCATTTAGTATGTATCAGTAACAAGATAGAAATATAATAGAAATCATGTTTCTTTTCATTTAGAGTCAGTGATATTAAGATAGATTAATTATAAATTACAATTCGCTATGAAATGTAACTTTAAACGAATTAAATTACAAAAAATACTTAGTCTAATTTCATGAAATCAAACAGCAATAAGAGCGACAAATAGGAATTGTCTCATTCCTTATTTATAGATAACATTGTCATATTAAATTTGTAAACTTTGTAAAACTCAAAACTAGTAGACCTTCATAAAGAGTCCTAATGTTATGATTATTGTAAGAATTATTATGCCTTGTAATTTTGGGTTCTATTATATAAATATAAAATTATCAGATTGCCATAAACTTTCATATTTTATCTTCAATCTCATAACTGTAAGACACTTCACAATACGTTTTAAAAACAATGATTAGAAGATGATTCGTGCCACAGAAAGTTTTAAAATCATTGATTACATTTGATATAGAAGGGTTCAACTGTGGAATGCTATAAATTTTATCTTGACCCGTATTTAAACACTATCAGTTGATTTCCAGTATATTGTTGTAAATGAACAAGTTTTGTTTGTTCTACCAGACGGATAAAGTAAATTTAAAGAAGGCATAAAATTATGTTACTTATTCTATTTTAGGTCAAGTTTGTATAATTTATTGAAAATACAAGTATAGTACATGTGATACAGACTAAAAGTTCAATGCTCTTCCTTCACAAACTTATATTACTGGGATTTAAAAGTACCTCAATGAACACTTTAATTTCTTCCGTTTTGTGATTTTTTAGGGATAAAGGTCGTTTAATGATGGTTATTATTCAGTTATGGTTTTAGGATGATTTATGTCTTCTCAACAGCGGACTGAAGCCTAAAATTCAAACTGTTCCAATGGAATTGAATTTGTGATTATTAAACATTGATCGCTTACAGGTATCGATTTATCAGTGACGACTGTGTTATCAGAAAAGAAGAAATGATGTGAGAGGTGTTATATAACCTTCAATGTTGTTCTTGTCATGGATATATCATAACAATCAAAATGAAATCTTTAAAATAAGGTACGTTCAGACCATTATTACTATTGACTCAGCCGGAAGTAGCCAGATAAATTGATCACAAGGTAACATAATTTAATTTGAAATAATCAATTTAGACAAAGTTTTTAATGAAAAACATATATTTAGCTAATTCAATATTCGAGGGAAAAAATATGATGTAGAAAAGGTCGTGTTTGTATAATCAGGAAGAAGGTTTGGCTAGACCCCAATAAATCACATTAGAGGAAGTTGATAACATGCATATTTACAACAACAAGTATGATTAGTTTGAAATGTTGGTTGAATGGTAGGAATAGCTATTTTGATGAAAATACTACAATGAAACTGTTACCTTGCAATAGACATATAAAAAAATCAACAAAAGATGTTATATAACTAACACAAGAAGAATATAACTTTCCAAACCACCTGTAGTTTGTCAATCTTGGGATATTGATTGCTCTAGACACACAAAACAGCCAAACAGTCATATAACAGCAAGAGATGTTAAAACAACCAAACGGTAATGTCAAGGTCCAGACTGACGTAACGTCAATACATCATCAAACTATAAAGGTTTTTTTTTTCTCCCAAAGAAACTAGCAGTCATGTATTGATGTAATGACAGCCTCGTGTATAGATGACTGATGCTTCATAAGTTTAATGCTTCAGAAAGAAGTAACCCCACCCCCCAATTGTTTAATGTTTAATATTCAATAAGTGTTCAGTTAAATTTACATTAATTAAGGTAGATTAAACCCTGGTGTTACCCCCACAAGAAACATATACATGGAATTTGACATACATGTATTTATATCCTTGACAGATGTATTTTTTAGTCTCGCAAGTAATTCAATTATATATAGTTTTTTCGTGTCTTGTTATTTGTTCTTCATAAATGCACCTGGTTACCTTCCGAGTTGAAACGAATGGATCTCTCTCTCTCTCTCTCTCTCTCTCTCTCTCTCTCTCTCTCTCTCTCTCTCTCTCTCTCTCCAATTCTTCTTTGAATAAAAAGGAGCTTTTGATACCGATGCCACTATCTTACCGTTTGACTTTTTAATATGTATTTGTCCTCTTAAGTGGAAAATGACTTAAAAGGTAAAAATAAGTAGAATGTTTACAACGTACCGGACATCCGCAATGTATACATGTACATTTTACCTGCATTTCATCTCAATTAACCCATCTTGTTTACGTTGTCTTTTATACACCTCCCATTCAGTAGTCAAGACATATAGTGTAACTATTGATTAATTGGTTGATGTTAAACGCCACTTTCAACACTATTGTGCTATTTCGTGGCGGTCAGTTTTTATTGGTGGAGGAAGCCAAAGTGCCCGGAGAGAACCACCGACCTTCGGTAGGAAAACTGACAATCCTAGTCAATTAAGATTGGAGTCGAGTGTACCTGCCCCTTGCGGGAAACGAACTCACAACCTCAGTGTTGACTGGCTAGTGATGCAATAGTTGGACTACTAAACCACTCGGCCACCGAGTCTGTAATTCCGAAAATCAAACAATGCTGTTGTCCAGAGTATTTTGTTTGCAGTTATATATACATGTATTGTACATGTGTTTGATTTGTAGGTGTATAATGAGTTAAGGCTGAGTTCGCGTTTTAAAATGACATCCTTTACTCTGAACTGGGGTCATTAGACTGTATGGTTAACAATCTAAAAGTGGTTAAACCCGTTTATATATTAATAAAATTGTTAACAAGCAAAATATAACCTAACCGCATTTGTTAAAACGGTTAAGAACCAAAAACATTGATAAACAGTTAGTGTTAAAATTGTAAACAACAAAACATGAAATATTCTTACTATAAATGCTCAACAAACAAACTCTTGTTTCCAATTTGCCAGTCAAAAGATACCTATTTTACTCCTTAAAATTGATGCCTTGCAATTTATGTCTATCTGGTTTTTTTTCTAGAAATCTTTTACATAGTATTGAACTTGTTCACGATCTTAGACGAAAAAAAACAAAAGCAATATCTAACTGTTTATAACAAATTCTCTTGTAGGAGTATGAAGTCTGTCGGATTTCCTCATTCCTGGCTTATAACGTTTATTTATCACAAGGTATCCGGCACAAGTCAAAATCTATTCAGGAACATACCAAAGTTCACTATCCTGTTTGTGGTGGAATTGGTCCACTTATTCTCTAATTTTCTTTGATTCTTTGATTGTTAATTTTTGGGTTTTTTTTTAAAGTCATCATTATTAGTTATTATTGAGTTCATAAATATTTTTAATTTGATCCTTTATAATATGATCATCCTTGGATGACTTCTAACACATATGATCTGGTTAAACTTTTGTTTTATTTCAAAATTTTATTTTATAATATTATCTATGCACATAAACATAAGAAAACACGAACACATTTTTTTATCATATATAAGTATACATTGCACTGATAAATACCTAATTTCTTATCGGTTTGACCTTTATTGTATCGGTTTGACCTTTATTGTATCGATTTTGTGTTTACCATACATAGTCGTATCTTTATACTTGATGTGACAGATTTCAATAAACATAATGTATAAATAGTCCAGTGAGCAATACGAGGAAATTGCTTAATTCCCCATTTAAATACCGACATTACGCCGTCTAAACTGAATGAGATGGGAAAATATGTACTAAATCAATACAATTTATATATATATGCGTAATAAAATCAATAAAATCAAATATGTCACAATTTTGTTAAATTAAAGTCAAAAGTCAACAAATAGAAATTTTCAGATATCATTAACACGAAACAAGTCCGAGTTATTTCGTTTGGCATGTTTTGTATATTCAAAGAGTTCAAAGGCAATTGTCTCTCGACGTAAACAAAGACGAATGCCATTCTCGACGTGAAGAGAAACAAACGACGAAACAGTGGTCCTGGATGTCCTTCAATGTAAACAGGACAAGACAATGTGTTCCTTAAAGGACACTGGTCATTTGTAAACTAATTCACAGATGACCTATAGGAAAATTGGTAATCCAAAGATAAACGGTCAGTTTTTCGGGCCTGTTCCAAATCAGGAACCTCATCTGTGATTGTCTTTTCAATGTTTTATCCAGTAGGAATTGTGGTGTTGTGTTCAATGTTTTATCCTTTAGAGATTGTGGTGTTGTGTTCAATGTTTTATACTGTAGGGATTGTGGTGTTGTGTTCAATGTTTTATACTGTAGGAAATGTGGTGTTGTGTTCAATGTTTTATCCAGTATGGATTGCGGTGTTGTTTAAAATATTTTATCTTTTAGGAATTGTGGTGGTGTATGTTGTATTGTATGTTCAATGTTTTATAATGTAGGGATAGTGGTGTTGTGTTCAATGTTTTATAATGTAGGGATAGTGGTGTTGTGTTCAATGTTTTATACTGTACGGATAGTGGTTTTGTGTTCAATGTTTTATACTGTACGGATAGTGGTGTTGTGTTCAATGTTTTATTCTGTACGGATAGTGGTTTTGTGTTCAATGTTTTATACTGTACGGATAGTGGTTTTGTGTTCAATGTTTTATACTGTAGGGATAGTGGTTTTGTGTTCAATGTTTTATACTGTAGGAATTATGGTGTTGTGTTCAATGTTTTATACTGTAGGGATAGTGGTTTTGTGTTCAATGTTTTATACTGTACGGATAGTGGTGTTGTGTTCAATGTTTTATACTGTACGGATAGTGGTTTTGTGTTCAATGTTTTATACTGTACGGATAGTGGTTTTGTGTTCAATGTTTTATACTGTACGGATAGTGGTTTTGTGTTCAATGTTTTATACTGTACGGATAGTGGTTTTGTGTTCAATGTTTTATACTGTACGGATAGTGGTTTTGTGTTCAATGTTTTATACTGTACGGATAGTGGTTTTGTGTTCAATGTTTTATACTGTACGGATAGTGGTTTTGTGTTCAATGTTTTATACTGTACGGATAGTGGTTTTGTGTTCAATGTTTTATACTGTACGGATAGTGGTTTTGTGTTCAATGTTTTATACTGTACGGATAGTGGTTTTGTGTTCAATGTTTTATACTGTACGGATAGTGGTTTTGTGTTCAATGTTTTATACTGTAGGGATAGTGGTTTTGTGTTCAATGTTTTATACTGTAGGAATTATGGTGTTGTGTTCAATGTTTTATACTGTAGGGATAGTGGTTTTGTGTTCAATGTTTTATACTGTACGGATAGTGGTTTTGTGTTCAATGTTTTATACTGTACGGATAGTGGTTTTGTGTTCAATGTTTTATACTGTACGGATAGTGGTTTTGTGTTCAATGTTTTATACTGTACGGATAGTGGTTTTGTGTTCAATGTTTTATACTGTACGGATAGTGGTTTTGTGTTCAATGTTTTATACTGTAGGGATAGTGGTTTTGTGTTCAATGTTTTATACTGTAGGGATAGTGGTTTTGTGTTCAATGTTTTATACTGTAGGAATTATGGTGTTGTGTTCAATGTTTTATACTGTAGGGATAGTGGTTTTGTGTTCAATGTTTTATACTGTACGGATAGTGGTGTTGTGTTCAATGTTTTATACTGTACGGATAGTGGTTTTGTGTTCAATGTTTTATACTGTACGGATAGTGGTTTTGTGTTCAATGTTTTATACTGTACGGATAGTGGTTTTGTGTTCAATGTTTTATACTGTACGGATAGTGGTTTTGTGTTCAATGTTTTATACTGTACGGATAGTGGTTTTGTGTTCAATGTTTTATACTGTACGGATAGTGGTTTTGTGTTCAATGTTTTATACTGTACGGATAGTGGTTTTGTGTTCAATGTTTTATACTGTACGGATAGTGGTTTTGTGTTCAATGTTTTATACTGTACGGATAGTGGTTTTGTGTTCAATGTTTTATACTGTACGGATAGTGGTTTTGTGTTCAATGTTTTATACTGTACGGATAGTGGTTTTGTGTTCAATGTTTTATACTGTACGGATAGTGGTTTTGTGTTCAATGTTTTATACTGTACGGATAGTGGTTTTGTGTTCAATGTTTTATACTGTACGGATAGTGGTTTTGTGTTCAATGTTTTATACTGTACGGATAGTGGTTTTGTGTTCAATGTTTTATACTGTACGGA